CTTGGTTGTTTTCTTGCAAACATTTTGTTACCTGGCTAGGTAACATCTTCAGTGCTTGAATGGAATGGAATTTGGATAACAAAATGTTTGCAAGAAAACAACCAAGCTCAGAGAACCCCAAGGACTCCACAGTTCAACCCTGAGCTACACATATTCACTTTTGTTGGTTGCAAGATCTTGTAATCTTACAATGAAGGTAGTGTTAGTATTCATGGTTTTGGTTTCTCATCTGGACTACCTTGAAGGGCTGACGGTACATTTACTTCTATTTATAGCTTGCACTGTCCCTTCCTTTATTTATTTGTTGATGATATGATATTAATTTATTTTTCCACCCTCAAAGTGTAGATTGTAAAGTCCCTTGAGACATGTACCTTGACCTACATTGGCTACTCCAGAAAGTACACGTACGTTGGTGGTGCTATGTAAACAACCATCTATCTGGCTGGCTTTCTGCCTTCTTCCTCATGATCCGATTCATAATCAGTTAAGTTTAGGCTAATGCAAAGAAAAGCTGATAGCAAACCTTTTTCATCGTGAGCTTCCAAGCTACATAAAGCTGGACTTAGAAAGATCCGAATTTTTTTTGGAATAGACTGGCAACCATTGTTCATCAAGTTACAGTCATCATGAACGAGGTTTGTGGTTCATGCAGTGCACTGTCTTTTGCAAAATTTGCCAGGTAGATGTTTGGTCCCTTCTGAGATTAACAAATTTCAGCTGTAGGGAATACTCATTTTGAGAGAATACCCTAAAACATAAACTGCCCTTGTGGGTCTGTGGGAGACAGTCCAGAAGAAGTTGTTATGAATCTAATTGTAGTTGTGGGTGAAAGAGCGAAGCCCATCTGGAAAAACAATAGAATAGTATGGTCAAGCTGGTTTTATGGATGGAAGGAGATGAAGGTACAAGCCAGTCAGGAAAGAGCAGAATAGAGATGTTGAATAACCTGCAGGACCCTTGAAGGCCTTTTTGGGGGCAGGAAGAGGTACTGGTGCACACTTAGTGGATGATCTGTGTGAAATATTTGTGCAAGGAAATACGGTTAAGTA